GTATTTGTATGTCTTTTTTACCGAATCAATGAAAATATTTCTAATTTGGAAAATGTAGAAGAAAAAGAAAAGAACATTTGATGCATCTCAGTAATCCAGGTAGAAGCCTATTGTTAGTCGATGGCCCTCTTTTGCATGTGACTAACCTGTTTGTCCATGTGGAGGCAGTGCTTATAAGGCTGAGTTCACCTGAAACTCATCAGACTGAAGAAGTCTCTTGGAGGAGAGACGAAACGTTTCACTAAAGAAGAACCATCCAGAGGACCTACGTACTTATTTTTTTCTACCTGGATTACTGAGATGCATCAAATGTTCTTTTCTTTTTCTTCTACATTTTCCAAATTAGAAATATTTTCATTGATTCGGTAAAAAAGACATACAAATACTGGACATGCATGATTTATAAATTAAGGCTTTTGTTTCAAACCTTGCTTTGGTACAAATAAGATCAGCTTTTTTTTTTTCTCAGACTTAAACACAAAAATTCACACAATTCAGTCCTTCCCTGATGCTGATCAGTAACAGATCAACTGCAGGCTGATAAGAATCAAAAACTCTTGTTGGATTTTGGAAGAAATCAGAAAAAAAAAATCTGAACGCCGCTGAGCAGAGACGGAAACCATGTTTGGATTGATGTTCATGCTGATCACAGTTTCTCACGGTTATTATTATTTTTTTCAAAGTTTCATCATTTTCAAATGTTTCCACATGGCCCTTTGTTTCCTGCTAAGTGTGAGTGAACGTCCTGTTAGACGACAATAACTTTGTCCTCAGTGAACTGAAGCAGCTCAGAAAACTTTAATTTGTGTTTTCCTCTTTTCTTTCTCTTGTCTTTTTTATGTTCAGTTTTGACATTTTGTATTTAAACTGCAGTGTGTGACTTTAATGTTTAAAGTTAAGATGCTTTTTGTTCCCAGTGTGTGTTTGCATTAAATTGTAAAGTATCCACGTGAATTTACAGGTTACATCAGTTTTTTTACTCCTGTGAGGGAACACAGGGGAGATTAGTTATTTTCTTTTTTGTTCCCATGCAGTACTTTTRTGTTGTTGTTTTTTTCCCATTTCGCCTGCCAGTTTAATAAAATTTCACATGCACACCATTATTCCTGCATTCATTAGCTTCAGCTTAAACATACAGCCCTGCATGGAGTTATAAACTTCATGCAACCACACAATCACATCGACAATTCCCCTAACTTGTGTGACACATCCTGTTTCTGTAACCGGATTCAAAATAGAATTCTCATTAAATACAGTTGAAACAAAACATTACAATTACCTCTGGAATGCCAAACCTTTGTGTACACACACAAAAAGTATTGCAAACTAAAATATATTTATTGAAAAATACCCCATTTGTCCACCAAGCTCCATACAAAGTGATCAATTACTTCAATAAATGACAAAAAAATGATTAAATAAAAAGTATATGTAACAATGAAAG